CCATTCCCATCCCCATCCCCATTCCCATCCCCATTCCCATTCCCATCCCATTCCCATTCCCATTCCCATTCCCATTCCCATTCCCATTCCCATTCCCATCCCCATTCCCATTCCCAATTCCCAATCCCCCATTCCCATCCCATTCCCATTCCCATTCCCAATCCCCAATCCCATTCCCATTCCCATTCCCATTCCCATCCCATCCCCGTTCCCAAATCCCACACCGTCTCCTCGAAGGAGCACTTCATCAGGGGCCCGGTGTCCTGGCGGTTGACGCCGTGCCGGGTGATGGCCATCAGGTGTCCGCGCGAGGTCATGGTGTCGCACAGCAGCGCCAGGTGCCGGTAGTTGACGTAGGAACCGTCGAAGGAGATGACGTGGTACAGCTCCCGCTCCAGCGCCTTGCGCACCGCCTCGATCCCCAGCACCTGCCGCGATCCGGGAATTCCCGAAATCCGGGGAGATCCCGAAATCCGGGGAGATCCCGAAATCCGGGAATTCCCGAAATCCGGGGAGATCCCGAAATCCGGGGAGATCCCAAAATCCGGGAATTCCCGAAATCCGGGGAGATCCCGAAATCCGGGAATTCCCAAAATCCGGGGAGATCCCAAAATCCGGGAATTCCCGAAATCTGGGAATTCCCGAAATCCGGGGAGATCCCGAAATCCGGGAATTCCCGAAATCCGGGGAGATCCCGAAATCCAGGGAGATCCCGAAATCCGGGGAAATCCCGAAATCCGGGAATTCCCGAAATCCGGGGAGATCCCGAAATCCGGGGAGATCCCGAAATCCGGGAATTCCCGAAATCCGGGGAGATCCCGAAATCCAGGGGGGAGGAAATCCCAAATCCAAGGGGTGGGAATGCTCAAAATACAGGGGGTGGGAAATCCCAAAATTCAGGGAATTCCCAAAATTCAGGAGGTGGAAATCCTGAAATCCAGGTAGTGGGAATTCCGAAATCCAGGGGGTTGGAATTCCTGAAATTCAGGGAGTGGGAAATCCCAAATCCAAGGGTTGGGAATTCCCAAATCCAAGGGTGACTCACAGAGAAGATCTCCACCACGAGGACCATGATGTCCCTCAAAGCCCAGCCCAGGTGTGTCCCTCAAACCCCAGCCCAGGTGTGTCCCCAGCCCAGGTGACCCACAGTGAAGATCTCCAGGAACCCCCAGGTGTGTTCCCACCCCCAGGTGTGTCCCCACCCCAGGTGTGTCCCCAGCCCAGGTGACTTACGGTGAAGATCTCCACCATGAGGATCATGATGTCCCTCACCCCCAGGTGTTCCCACCCCCAGGTGTGTCCCCAGCCCAGGTGACCCACAGTGAAGATCTCCAGGAACCCCCAGGTGTGTCCCCACTCCCAGGTGTCCCCAGCCCCAGGTGTCCCCACCCCCAGGTGTCCCCACCCCCAGGTGTCCCCACCCCAGGTGTGTCCCCAGCCCAGGCGACTCACGGTGAAGATCTCCACCATGAGGATCATGATGTCCCTCACCCCCAGGTGTCCCCACCCCAGGTGTGTCCCCAGCCCAGGTGACCCACAGTGAAGATCTCCAGGAACCCCCAGGTGTGTCCCCACCCCCAGGTGTGTCCCCACCCCCAGGTGTCCCCACCCCAGGTGTGTCCCCAGCCCAGGCGACTCACGGTGAAGATCTCCACGATGTCGTTGGAGGTGGTGCGCACGGGGTCCACGTCCTTCTCGCTCAGCACCCGCATGAGGCTGACGCCGTCGGTCTCCAGGATCCACTCCTGGAGAGCCTTGAACTCCCCGTCCTCGGTGATGATGATCTTCTTCTTGTTGTCCGTCTGCGGCAGGTGCATGTACACCTGGGCAGGCGGGACAGGTGTCACCACGGTGTCACCACGGTGTCACCACGGGTGACCCACATCTTCTCAAGGTCTCTTGGAACCTCCCCAAAAGTCTCCATGGAGAGCTCCCGATGCTCCTCAAGATCTACCTGGAGATCTTGAACCCTCAGAGAACCTCTCATCTTCTCAGGTACCCACAGGTGTCACCACGGTGTCACCACGGGTGACCCACATCTTCTCAAGGTCTCTTGGAACCTCCCCAAAAGTCTCCATGGAGAGCTCCCAATGCTCCTCAAGATCTACCTGGAGATCTTGAACCCTCAGAGCACCTGGTTGGTACCCAAAGATCTTCTCAGGTGCCCAGAGGTGTCACCAGGGACCATCCAGGACCTTCTCAAGGTCTCTTGGAACCTCCCAGAAGTCTCCATGGGGAACTCCTGATGCTCCTCAAGATCTACCTGGAGATCTTGAACCCTCAGAGAACCTCTCATCTTCTCAGGTACCCACAGGTGTCACCACGGGTGACCCAGATCTTCTAAAGGTGTCACCAGGGACCATCCAGGACCTTCTCAAGGTCACCATGGAGCTCTCCAGGTATCCTTGAAGACCTCCCACCCCTTCATGGACCCCCCAGGTGTCCCCACCTTGCTGATCTGCTCGATGCCCTGCAGGGTCATGTCCGTCAGCATGTTGGACTCGATGCAGCGCAGGAAGACGTCGTCGTCCATCTTGTCCACCACCTCCTCCTCCTGGGGACACGGTGGGGCAGAGGTGAGGCCCAGGCCACCCCAGGTGTCCCCCGAGGTGTCCCCAGGTCCTCGCCCACCTCCTGCATCTTGTTCTCGTCGCTGTTCATGATGCGGATGCGCAGCACCAACTTCTCGGCGTTGTCGTCGTTGAAGATGCAGTTGAGGTCGTCACCAAAGCCTGGGAGGGGACACGGGTGGGACGGGGTCACCTCCATGGTCACGGCACCCGAGGGACCTCCAGGGTCTCCTCAAAGATCTGCCAGGAACCCCCAGAGCTCGCCCAGATCATCCCAAAGCTCCTCCAGGCTCACCCAGAACTCCTTGAAGAGCCCTCAGGTGCCTTCAGGGGTCACCAAAAACCCTCCAAAAGCTCCTCAGGTGCCCTCAAACCTCATCCAGGTCACCTCAAACCCCATCCAGACCCCTCAAAAGCAGCTCAGATGCCCTCAAACCCCATCCAGGTCACTTCAAAGCCCCTCCAGGTCTCTCAAAACCCCCCAAAAGCTGCTCAGATGCCCTCAAACCTCATCCAAGCCACCTCAAACCCCCTCCAGACCCCTCAAAAGCTGCTCAGATACCCTCAAACCTCATCCAAGCCACCTCAAACCCCCTCCAGACCCCTCAAAAGCTGCTCAGATGCCCTCAAACCTCATCTGGGTCATCTCAAACCCCCTCCAAGTGCCTCAAACACCCCCAGGGTTCCTCCACCCCCCCAGATGCCCCGTGTCCGGCCCACGCACCGGCGTTGATCTTCTCGGCGATCTGCTCCATGGTGAGCTTGCGGTCGGTCATGTGCTTGCGGTCGAGCTCGACGCGCAGCAGCCACGGCGAGATGCGGCTGACGTCGAAGTCGGGCATCTCGTAGTAGACGTTGACCCACTCCTGGTCCTCGGCCACCACCGTGCTCTGAGGGTTGGGGTCGTAGTAGATGGCGGTGTTGGCCGTCACCTTGCGCAGCGTGGTGTGCTCCAGGCGGCACAGGATGTCCTGGGGACATGGGGACAGTCAGGGGACATGGGGACACTGAGGGGACATCAGGGACACTGAGGGGACATTGGGGACACTGAGGGGACATGGGGACACTGAGGGGACATCAGGGACACTGAGGGGACATCAGGGACAGTCAGGGGACATGGGGACACTGAGGGGACATTGGGGACGCTGAGGGGACACTGGGTGTGGTGTGCTCCAGGTGGCAGAGGATGTCCTGGGGACATTGGGGACAGTCAGGGGACACTGGGGACACTGAGGGGACATCAGGGACAGTCAGGGGACATCAGGGACAGTTAGGGGACATTGGAGACATGGGCAGCGTGGTGTGCTCCAGGTGGCACAGGATGTCCTGGGGACACTGAGGGGACATCAGGGACACTGAGGGGACATTGGGGACATCAGGGACAGTCAGGGGACATTGGAAACATGGGCAGTGTGCAGTGCTCCAGGTGGCACAGGATGTCCTGGGGACATTGGGGACAGTCAGGGGACACTGGGGACACTGAGGGGACATTGGGGACACTGAGGGGACATCAGGGACAGTCAGGGGACATTGGAGACATGGGCAGCGTGGTGTGCTCCAGGTGGCACAGGATGTCCTGGGGACATTGGGGACACTCAGGGGACATTTGGGACATGAGGAGTGTGGTGTGCTCCAGGTGGCACAGGGTGTCCTGGGGACACTGAGGGGACATTGGGGACAATCAGGGGACACTGGGTGTGGTGTGCTCCAGGTGGCGCAGGACGTCCTGAGGGGACATGGGAACATGGAAGACATGGGGACACAGAGGTGACACAAAGGCACAGGGCCACCACAGGGACATGGTGACCCTGGAGCCATGGAGCCACCACAGCCACCACGGGGCTGTGGGGACACAGAGGGGACACAAAGCCACAGGGCCACCACAGGGACATGAAGCTATGGAGCCACCACAGAGCTGTGGGGACACAGAGGTGACCAAAACCCACAGGGCCACCACAGAGCTGTGGGGACAAGGAGGTGACCAAAACCCACAGGGCCACCACGGAGCTGTGGGGACACAGAGGTGACCCAAACCCACAGGGCCACCACAGAGCTGAGGTCACAAAGCCACCAGCAGACCACCCCGGAGCCCCAGCCGCCGTCCCCGGTGCCACCTTGGCGCGCTCGGCGTCGCGGGCGCTCTGGCCCAGCAGGAACACGGTGAGCGACGGCGTCTTGGGCTTCTTGGAGATGTTGATGAGCTCCTTGAGGCGCGGCACGCCCAGCGTGACGTTCTTGGCCGACACCCCCGCGTAGTGGAAGGTGTTGAGGGTCATCTGCGTGGCCGGCTCGCCCAGGGACTGCGCGGCCAGAGCGCCCACCATTTCCCCGGGGTGGGCCTGAGGGGACACGGGGACAGGAGAACGTCACCAAACCCCACAGTGACCTGAATCATCTCCCCGGGGTGGGCCTGAGGGGAC